TCCAATTAGCAAAACTACCAAACCACAGGGCCAGGTGTCAGATGCTGGGGTGCAGGCTGGGGAGTCAGCACCAAAACCACAAAGCAGTAAGTAAAGGAGAGAGACATTCAAACCCTGGAAGCCGTTTCCAGAGCCGATGTAGACGGCAGCGACTGTTCCAGGCCTGTGTGATGGAATGAGCGGTTTGCCACCTCCGAGCCCCTAGCTAGGCTCTCCTGCTCCTCTGTGGAAGTGGGGGGTCTCCAACCTGCTTACCCCCCTGCCTTTGCCCCGTTGTTGGTGCATAAGGTGTTTCAAGGAACAGACAAAGGATAAATTTTCAATCTTCTAACTTAATAGACTGCTTGGTTGCAGGCTCGCCTCTGACCCCAAGGTCTGCCTCGGCCCCTTCTGCACCGAGGGCCTCTGAGCAAGCCCCTGGCCCCGTCACATCTACTTACATAGCGGCTCCAGACTCCAGGGCTTCCTGTGCTCACAGAGCCCAGAAGAAAGTGGGGGAAGGGGGTGCTGTTATTAAGGCACAGAAAGAAAGGGACCCAGAAGAGAGGGAAGCCTAAGTAACACTGTGCCTTGGGGCTCAGTGCCCCAGAAGCGGGCAGTTGGGGACCAGGTGCCTTTTCCCATGTGCTCCAGGCGGGTCTCAATATGACCCGTGGGGACTCCATCTCTCCACCCCATGATGGGAAATCAGGCCCTTTCAACTGAACATTTTGGCAAAGGCAACTATGGTTAAGTTTGTACCTTTCCATCTCCATCCTCTTTCTGTCATTCTTTTTTGGTGCTCAGGGGACTCTGCAGTTTGGGGAATCAAAAGGGGACCTGCTTCATGCAAAGCGTGTGCTCCAGCCAACTGAGCTAGCTCTCTGGCCTCTGTTTTTGCATGTGGCACCTGAACAAATAACACATGATATTTTCTGCTATTTAGGTGAGTCATGTTCCCAGTTCCAAAATGCACACATTAGTAATAAAACAGAAACCCATCCAGATCTGACGGAAATGTCCTCTCTCAGAGGCCACTTCTGGAAATGTCATCATTTCTGTTCCTTTCTGCAGAGAAGTGGGGACCCCATTTGAGAGATACAGCAGGACCTTCTCCTGACAGAGGGGTGTCCCTCCACAAGCAATACACTTCACAACACCTGCCCAAGGAACTCCCTTCATGCCACAGACTCACTTCGAGAAGGGCAGCTATCACCTGCTGGCCAAGAAGCTATGGTCTGCTAAAAAAAAAAAAAAAAAAAAAAAAGCTTGGAAATCAGGGCCAGAGAGCTAGTACAGCAGGTAGGGTGTTTCCTTTGCATGTGGGTGATCTGAGTTCGATCTCTGGTGTCCCATATGGTCCTCTGAGCACTGTCAGGATGTAATTCCTGAGTGTAGAGCCAGGAGTAACCCCTGAGCATTGCCAGGTGTGGTTCCCATCAAAAAATTAAAAAACAACAAAACCAACCAAACAAACAAGAGCTTAGAAATATTTGACCCACACTTAACTAACCAAGGTGCAGAGGTTTCAAGTCCTTTATCCATCATCACTCAATAGTATCCCAAACACACATAAGAAACCCCAAATTAGGGAGAGTTTTGATTGAGACCTTCAGGATTCCAAAAAAGAGACTTGTGACAGAGGAGTGTGCTGAGCCTGAAATACCCAAATGGATCTTGCTTTAAAAACAATTTCTGGGGGGATGAGATTGCTTAGGGGGCTGGAGCATGTACTTAACATATACAAGTTCTAGGGGAGCACCATCGAGTGAAACCCTAAAACTGAAAAAAAAACCAAAAACCAAAAAACTCTGGACTGTGAAATTCTGTCTAACACCTTAGCATCACACCAGAACCCATTAAAGAGTTAGCAGATGGAAAACCAGGGTACCAAACTCATGGACGCTCTTCTCCAGACTGAACGCCCCTTCTTTCCCCGCCACAGCGGAGGCCCCCATGTCTGCTCCGCCTCCTGCCTGAGCTGCTGCCCGGTGCCTGCAGGCATCTGTGCAGACTTAAGTCCATGTCCCCAAATCCACTGCCTTGCCCGCAAAGTACAGCATAGAGAATCCACCAACTGCCGCAGCACCACAGCCGGCGAGGGAAGGAGTCAGAGACTCCGTTTTAGTTTTACGGATTCCATAATCGAATTTTTTTTTTCACCTAGAAAATCCGTGACACATGGGCAGACAGCAGGACAGAATATTAAAAATCAGGACCTCTCTGAGAAATCCGGGCCAGACGGTTGCCATGCCAACACCCCACCATGCCAAACAAGCATCTCCAAGATCCAGAAGCAACTTGGCTGGCTTCAGAGGGGCCAGACACTGTTGGAGGCACAGAGTGCCGTCCTGCTGGCCCAGACCCTCCCTCTCCCCTCCACTCAGATTCCCCAGGGGCTGGTGTGGGTGACGCCTGTCTGAAATTTTCTCAGCCTCTGTCAGCAGGCCTGACCACATCATTTCCTAAGAATCTGAAAATCCACAGGCAGTGAGAAAGAGGCATGCAACGACCAGAAGACCAGGGAGGATTAAGAACATCTGAAGGGGAAAACAAGTGTCAGGGGTACCTGCACCTGGACTTGGGGCAAAGTGTTCATTTCCAGGAGAACTGAAGCATGCTCCTTTCTAGCTCCTTATTGACACTCCGGTTGGGGCTTGGAATAAAAGCTTCGGGAGCTGTAGGATGCTTGGACCCCTGATTACCCCCAGAGATGGGAAACAATCTTACTTCACTCATCTCCCAAAGAATTTATTAAGTCATGCTGCGTGCACAACTCTGGCAACGGAAGCAGCTTCAATCATGCTGCCCGAAGGTAGCAGAGGAGACAGGGCAGAAGACTGAGACCCCACCCCCCACCCCCCCACCATCACCACATACACTCCGAAGTGGAACCTGGCTGGGTCAGGACTGCAAGACCAGGCCAGGCAGCGTCCAGGGCACCACGTGGCTGGAGACCAGAGCTAAACCACAGAGCCCAGAGGGCTGCTCTCACTTCCTGGACTTCCACTCCCACCCTACCCCTGTCCTCACCCTCTCCCTGCACCTCCATCCCAGGCTCTCAGGGACCTCCCAGGCTGGCCACCGTCACACTCCACGCTGAGCAGTCAATCTACAGCCCCTTTCTCGCCCACAACGCCATCGGAACCAAAAGAGCGAACGAGGCTGCTCTCAGGAGGGAAAAGGGGACCAGCCCTCTCATTCCCACCCTTTCAAGTGCGTGTCCCCCCATTAATACTGCGAGGGAGGGCTCCTTCTGCTAGAGAAGCAGGTCCCGCTCTGCAGCAAGGCCGGCGGGAGGCCCCTCCCCTGGCCCTCGCTCCTCCTCCAGCTCCGACCCTCCTCCCACCTGGTCGCCCACGGAGCGGCTGGGAACAGCTGCGCAGCCTGACCCAGGCCCGCCCTGGACTGGGGGTGGGGATGGGAGGGGGTGTCTCGGAGCTCCAGCGCGGCGGAAGCTCCCCGGGGGCCACCCCAAGACCCCAACACTTGCTGGCTCTTCCCACATGTTGGCGCTTTTCTCCCTCTCCCACTTTGTGCTTGGGAAAACCGTGCACGGGAGCTCTCGCCTACCGCGGCTCGCCGCCGGAGTTGGAGCAGGCTGCGAGCTGGGGTGAACGGAGCGGCGGGCTAACGGTCCCCAAGGTCCGTTCCCGCGGAGCTGGGAACTCGGGCTGGGGCGGGGGCTCGCGGGGCGGGCGAGGCGGGGTGGGGGGTTCTCTTTCTTGCCTGGGTGGGAACAAGACCTGGAGCCTGGGGCAGGACGGGACTAGGAAATCACTTCCATCCAGACGCCCCCCCGCCCCGCCACGTCCCGAGGGCTCCGCTGCAATGCTCGCTCGCAGCTAGCAGGGATTCTAGCCAGTCGTTGCTCTCCCGATCCCGCATCTCCCCCCACGTCCCGCAGCAGCTCTTCCCGCTCCGCTCCCCAGGCCCGGGCACCGACACGCTCCCGGGGTTCCAGCCCCGTACTCGCCCCTGGACCCCGCGCCGCGGCTGGTCCCCGGGTGGTCGCTCGCCTGCGGCGTCCCGGGCTCTCGCCCACCACCTGCGCCCGGCCCGTGAGTCTCGCGGCGCGGGTCCCCGAGCCTCCCGCCTCAACAGGTGCCACCGCTACACCGAGCTGTCACCGGGGCGGGGGCGGCGACAGGAACGCCCCCTGCAGGGCGGCGGGGGCCCCCACATGCCCCAACCCGGGTCCCCGGAAGGCCGAGGGGCTCCCTGCAGCTCTGCGGAGGCCCTGGCGGCGCCCCGCCGCCTTTGTTTGGCCCCTGCTTTGAACCGGGAGAGGGGAGCCCCGAGTCCGGGCGCACACCCTGTCCCGCTCACCCCTTTTCTGGGATTGGGGCGAGGAGGTGCGTCCAGGACGACTCCCTTTCCTGGCCAAAGAAGGCAAGGGGGGTGTTCGTGGGGGGAGAGTTCTCCCGTGTCAAAAAGGGCAGCTTCAAGCATTTATGCTCCCAGTGCTTGGAACTGGGGGTGGGGAACCCAGAACGGACACGGTCCCTAGAGACGCGGCTTTATTCAGTTACACACCCCCGCCTCCACCTTCCACGTCCTGTGGTCCCAGCAGGCTGGACGTGGGGGCCAGTGGGGAGGGGGGCGCACTGCCACCTACGCGCGCAGCAGTGCGCGGTTCTGGGGTGCCGGCGCAAGGTCCAGCGGGCCGGTCCGCGACCCCCGGCCCGGCGGCGCGGTGCCGAGAGAGCCGCCACGTTCCCAGTCCGCGCGCGCACGCCGGGCCCACCAAACTTGCAGCACTTTCTCCCAGCCCCCACTGGCTGTCACCCCCCGCCCCACCCCCATCCGTGCGCCCCGGCCCCGCCAGCCCGACAAGGGTTACCATAACAACGAGCAGGAATGCTCCAACAGCTACAAAGCCGGCGCGGCGCGGCGCGGCGCGGCGGCCACGCAGCTCCCCCACCCCCCCGCCCCGGCCAGGCCCCCCGCGCCCTCCCGCAGCCGCACGGGGCTGGGACGCGCGCCGCGGCTCTCCCCGCGGCTCACCGGCCCGGACTCACAATGAGCGGGATGGTGCGGTCCTCGCGGAGCGGCTCCGGCCTCCCGCCGGCCCTCGGCGCGCCCCGGCTGCCCGAGGATGCTGCGTGGGCTCGGTTGTCCTGCCATAAGTAGTAGAAAGTGCCCAGGATCCAGGCTACGGTCAGGATGGCGATGGCATTGGCGCGGATCTTCCTCATGGTGGGCGGCCGGGCGCCCGGGTAGGGGGGGCCCGGGCCGGAGTGTGCGCTCGGGGCCGGGGCGGGGGCGCTCGCAGCCCCAGCTGTTTGTTTTCGCTCGCGCCCGGCTGCTCAGTCCTGCAGAGCAGAAAAAGGAGAGAGGTGGGGGGCAGGGGGGGTGGTGATGGGGAGAGACAGGCGCACGAGCGATCCTCACGGTCCTAATGCCCTTCAGCCCCGAGCGCGCGCGTCCCCCGGGCGCCCATTCATTCGCGCGCACAGCCCGCCCCGCGCTCCAGCCTCCGCGGGCCGCCCGGGCAGCTGCGCACGGCGAGTGCGGCGCGGCGGGTGCGAAGTGACGCCACGCGGGGGGGTGGGGGGGAAGAGGGGGGGGGCGCCCGGCGAGGCAGACGCCCGCGGCGGAATGGCCACGGGCCAACGGCGGCCTCCGCTCCCGGCCGCTGCCCCCGCGCGGCCCCGGCCGGTCCCGCCTACCTCCATCCACCGCCGAGCGGCCCTGAGTCACCACCGGCTGGAGATGCGCGACCCCGGCCCCGGGCCCGCGCCGCCGCGGAGCTGCGGCTCCGGGCTGCGCTCAGAACCGCGCTCGGGCGCGAGCTAGAAGAAGGTTGCGTGTGGCCGAGTCCTCGGGAAGAGGCAGCTGGGCGAGCCCGCGTGGAGTTTGCTGGAATCCTCCGCTGCTGCCCGAGGGCCCGCCCCGAAGAGGGATTGGAAGCTGGTGCACTTGACATTGGGAGTGAGCCAAAGGGAGCAGTGCTGTTTCACAGCCCCGTGAAAGGATGTCTTTTTTTGGGGGGAGGGCGGGGGGTCCCACAGCGCCACGTCCTTCATGGACCTGATCTCCTGCCGCTCCCCTCCAGCCTGCCTCACTGTCCCTCGGACAACTCAGAGGTCGAGAGAAGGCAGGAAGGCTGTGGAGGTGGGAGCTTCGCTGGCGGCCACGCGGCTAAGGGACCAGCAGCGCCCTGTCTAGAAGCCACCTGACTCCTCCATCTGGTTCTCTGGACATAGTACAAAAGACACGGTGCAAAAGGCAAGGTGGGCCACAGTCAGTTCTCGGGTCCATACAGGGCCTGATACAGAGCGGAATTCTATGAATACATGTTAAATAAGCAAAACAAGTGGGGATCCCAGAGGAAGAAATAGTTTATTGGCTGGGAGTCCCAGGGAAGGCTTCTGACCCCTTTGGTGAGAGTTTGTGCCAAATTGCTGTGCCCTGGTGGAGTCCTTCCAGGAAGATATGCAGAGGCAGGAAGGGGGTGGGGTAGGTAGGTTACCCCTTTAATGCAGTAACCCCAGCAAAGTTCCAGAGGATGGGCTGGAGAGACAGTAAGGGGTAAGGCTCTTGTCCTACACACAACTTATTCCATTTCCAGCCCTGGCTCGAATGTGGTCTCTTGAGCACTGCCAAGAGTGATCCCTGAGCACCATCAGGTGTCTCCCATCCAGCCACCTCCATCCCCCATCCCCCCAACCAAAAGAAGAGTGCAGAGGATGGAGCAACTTGATGTGTTTTAGGAAGGGAGCTGCCTGGCAGGGCCAAAATGTGGTGTGACCTCGGGGTGAGTCTGGAATTGAGAAGCCCATGAGTGCCAGGGTAAGCATTGGCAGCGGATTCACCACCTAATGGTGCCTGGACTTGTCTGAAGGCCTGGTAAGATCAGGGCCTCCAAATGAGGACCCCTTGGGAAGCAGGAGCTGAGGTCAGTGCTGTACTCCCTCAGCCCACATACATACAGCCTTGGCACCAAGAATGAGCGTTGGGAATGGAACTGTCCTCCTTAGCGGTTTCACGCATTTCTGGGGGAGTGAAGGGAAATCCAAGAAAACCCAAGGTCTCTGTGGAAACTGCTGCTCGCTTCTTCTGATGAGGACAAGATGAGCTAGAAAAAAGGCCGACTTTGGAGTGTCATGCTAGTAAAGAGGGAGAGACCTGGAAGAGTCGCAGGGTGTCTGAGGAATAGCACCAATATCAGGGACAACTACCGAATGTAACCTGTCCACATGGCAGAGTCTGGCAAACTCCCCGTAGCGTACCCAATATGCCAAATACCAGTAACAATGATGGGTCTCATTCTCCTAACTCTGAAAGAGTCTTGAATATGGCACTTTTTAAAAAATCTCAGGGCTAGGACGAAGGAGACGTTACTGGGGCCTGCTCAAGGCAATCGACGAATAACAGGATGGTCATGATCATGATCGTGATCGGGGACAACTGGTCATGGGGGAGCTGCCTCTGCCTTGGCCCATCTCGGGCTTCCTTTCCCCTGAGCATGTGACTGCAGAAGGGGCCAGAAGGAGCCCCGTGCCTGGCTCCCACAGTCCTCGGTCTGCCAGTGCTCATGCCCTCTGTAAGGGCCAGGAACTCCTTGGTCTCAGGAATCCAGACAGTGAATTAGACATCAGAGGATGGGTGTCCCCCAATTCCACCCAGGCTCTCAGATCAGTCAGTGGGAAAGACTTGGGGGAGAGTGACCTGTTGCATAGGCTGCCCTCCCCATCTCAGCCTGGTCTCCACAGCTCTCTGTACCCTGGACTTGAGGAGACTGGGTGTGAGGATGTGAGATCCAAGGAAAGACATCACACCCTAGCCAAAATAATGGCAGTGCCATGGGCTGAGCACCATCCCTTAGCATTGCATGGTCCCTCAAACACTGCTGGAAGATTCACAACCCAGAACACTGCTGGGTGTGCCCATCAATGCATGTGCAGATGCTCACACACACACAAAGAGGCTCCAAGTTCCACCCTCAACAAGTGGGCTAGAGCTGGATTAAGTGGAAATGAAGTGAGGCTGATGGTTCTGGAAGGCTCCTGGTTGGAGAGGGCTCTGAGGGGGGAGGAAGGCGCTGGGATCAGTCCTGCCTTCTTCAAGGCTGAGAGGTTGACCTTGTTGCCTGACGTTTGTTCATTGGTATGAGGCTGTGCCAAATCGCCCCTCCCTGGCAGGTCTGGCTTTTCCTCGCCCCACCCTCCAGGGCAGGAATCCCCCCTAGGAGAGGCTGCTTGAATGGGGTCAGTCTGCACAGCATGTCAGTCCTTTGATGGCCACTCTCAGTCTCCCTGGGGCATTTTTAAACTCTCTGGACAGTCCGACTTGAATGGGGAGGTGGTGGCAGGACGTCCAGCCCTGGACATGCAGGAGGGTCAGCAGCAGCTCTGCTCTGGCGTGCGTCTGTGAACTTGATTTGGAGCCCTGAGGAGGACAACAGAACCGCAGCAGAATCTGAGAGGGAGGTGAGTGTGGCCGAGATGATCACGAGCCCTATTTGTCCCCTGGGCCCAGGAATGGGTTGGGGCAGAACCACCATCACAGAGACACCTAAGAGCCTCGTGTAGCCTGGCAGGTTTGTTGGCATTGGAAAACAAGGAGAGTGACACCAGCTCCAGGCTGCTGAGTGACTCGGTGCTGCCACAGTTCAGAAATTAGCCCCAAAGCCCTGTAGATCCTCCACACAGCCTTGCCAAGTCTGTGCCGGGGCTGAGTTTCAGTCTATTTCAATGCTGGCATCTGGGTATCTAAGGCCCCAGGGAACTCTCGGGAACTTTGCTTGCAGGGACCTCACTTCCCCTTGGCGTTTCAGTTATCAACTCTGAAAATAGAGGCATTGAAGAGATGCTCAGGTCCCTTCCACTGCAATTTGGGCCTTCTAGTTCCCTGGTTTCTTCTCCATGTTCTTTTTTTTTTTTTTTTTTTTTTTTGGTGAGGAGAGAGGGAGTTTGGGCCAAAACTGACAATTCTCAGGGGCAGGCCTATTCCTGGCTCTGTGCTCGGGTGTTTCCCCTGGTGGTGCTCAAGAGACCACATGTGGTTGCAGGGATTTCAAACCAGAGTCGAATACAAAGCCAATATACTAGCATTCTGGCCCCAAAGCTTTGTTCTTTTTTGGGAAGATAGGACCACACCCAGCAATGCTCAGGGCTCACACTCCCTTAATATCTCTCTGGCTGCACTCTTCTGTTATAGCTGTGGAAGTCACTCAGGGCTGTTGTTCCTCATGCTCCCTGAGAGCCCCCAGAATGTTCTGCACCTGTGTGTTGGGTATGAGGTTTGCTGGGGTGCAGGCGGGGGGTGAAAGGAGGGGAGGGGGTGCTGGGCAGGGAGCAGGACCAACAGAGGGGAGATAGAGCATAGCTCAGAGTAAAACCATATCCCCAGAGTTAGATAGCCCGAATTTGAATGCTGCTCCTGTCACATATTCGGGAAGTGACTTGAGAAAATTCTGAGCCTCGGTTCTCCTGGTTGTAAGAAGGTACATGCCCAGCCCTTCAGCTGCAGCGTCAGAGAGAAACAAAACAGGTTATCCCCAAGCCCAGCGGTGTGCCCAGCAGTGTCCCCAGTCGCCTGCTGCTGGCTGCGGCCTCTGGGGCACTCTTTTATAACTGCCTGGGCGCATGCAGGGGACTGTGACCATCGGACCACAGACGGACCTCAGCACCACACCCACCGTCCTGCCCCCATGACCTTCTCCAGAGCCTGCCCTGGAGAGGCAGAGACCAGATCCCCATTTGCCTGGACACCCTGGGTTGGCTCTGACAGCTCATGTCCTGTCTGCAGTTGCAGCAGAGGCCTGAAGTTGATGAGAGGAACTGATTCTTGCCCACGTCTGCCCTTGCAGGGAAGCAAGCAGAGAACAGCCCTGGGCAGGGTCGCTATGCGGAGTCTCTGAGGAGAAGGCACAGCCACCTCCATCTTCCGGATGAAGAGGCTGATGCCTGCAGGGGTCACTCAGCCCTGGGAGGGTACACGCGTGCCACCCACCGCCAGCTGGTTGCACTTACAGCCTCCTTGGATTTAAGGAAAAGCTGCGAGTTTCTGTCAATCATTACAGAGGGAGGAATATGATAAAAGGAGTTTAGGGTCTTATCAGGTACTTCTAATCACTGTGGCTTTGTTTCTGTCACTGGAGTGTATGTGCCGTGAGGGTAGACTTCTCTCTCTCTCTCTCTCTCTCTCTCTCTCTCCTATTTTTATTGGAAAGTTAGTGTGGCAGCACATGCATATGTGCTGAAGGCTATTCCCAATTCCCCACTCCGGGGTCACTCAGGCAGTGCTCAGGAGGTCATGTGCTTCCAAAATTGAACCCAGAACCTCACACATGCACGGCAAATGCTCTACCACTGAGCTACCATGCCAACCTGAGGGCAGGGTTCTTGATTATTTTCTTCACCATTCTCCTAAGGGCTCATCCATATACACATGCTCAATATTTGCCTTTGTGATGGACAGAAAGGGGGGAAAGGGAGGAAAGGCCTGTAGATGGTTCAGGACTAGAAGA